TTTAATCATGTGAGAGTTCTGTGAGCTCAGTTCCGCCTCTCCATCGTCCCGGAAGTTGGCGGCGAACAGGCATAGTTAGTTGGTAAAATTAAACTTTATATCGCAGGCACAAATTTGCAGAGCGTAAAATAAAGAACTGCCATGGGAAATGATGTGCCAAATATGGTTAATTTTATAATATTCTTTACTATGAACAGAGTCATGTATTTTTTAATAAAGTTATGAGCTTATTTTTAAAGTGCGCAGAATACTAAAGGAACCAAACAGAATCTCTTAGTCTTACTTGAAAACCCAAATTCTCTGTGACGTCAATGATGACATCCTGTTCAGAGGACTTCTAAAACTCCGGAAATTATGCAGTTTACCTAGCTCTTACCTTCCAACCTTCGAGGAGCGCTCTTGACCTTTGCAGGGAAATGAACTGTCCGAGAAAAGCCGCAAAGTTCATTAAGCACACAAGTGGCTAACTGCACATCATGAGCTTCCTGCTCCGGAATACCAGCTCCCGTTCCATTTGTCTCCGTGTTTTCGGGTTTTCGTTTTCGCTTTCGCTTTCGGGTTCTCCGGTTCCCCATTTCCCCAGGTTCCCCACGATCTCTAGTCCCCCGGCGAACAGTGGCCGCAGAAAATTCCTAGAATTCCGGAAATGAATGTGCGCAATTTCGCATTGGACACACTGTGGCCCGAGGAGAGGGGACTATCTGTATTTTTTGGGTCGCCAGTGCCGGGGAAATTCATGGTCATGGGAGTGCTGGATTGTGTTGAAATTAGAATGAATTGCAGCTAATTGAAATGCGTTGGGATTGAAGTGAGTTTGCAGCGAATCGAAGGGGATTCGGTTTGGATTTCAACTGGATAGTTGAGGGTTGAAAGAAGACAGTCAAGTTGTAAGGAACTTATATCTCAAGACGTAACAATTAGTAAGCAACCTAATTACGAGGCAAGTGCCACCCTCAAAGAACTTCAAGTGGCTCTAGGCAACTAAAGCCACATCCACTTATCCCGTGGAATATACCATTAGGTTCAGCTGCACAGCTCGCGGTGTCAAGTGAGCGGCAATTGCAGACGCGAAACTGTTTCTAATTTATTAATCAATTATTTACGAATGCGTGAGGGGAGCCACTCGACCTGTGGCTGGGTGCCAGAACCCCACTCGATTAGCATGCAGCGGCATGGCCGAAAGCCACAAAGCACCAAAAACACAGAAGACACAGAACACGGCTCAGGAGGGATGTGTGGATGAGCACTTCAAAGCGATTCGGGCCGACGTCTGTCTGCCAGCCCCCTCCTACTACTCCTCCTCCCACCCGTTCCCCTGGCTTCTTGGAAACGAAAGCCATTCGCTTTCATCTCGATAACGCCGATGAGCAGCCAGGATGACGCCCAGTGTGCCAGCAACAACGCGAGTTTAACTTAATTAACTAATTGTGAGGAAGACATTTCGGCGACATTTCATATTTCATGGGGACAAGGTTGCCAAAACAAAGGAGCTGGAGTGGGAATTCATACCAAAGATCCTACTGACTATATTCGGGGAATACTTAACCCTCGGACATTCCCAGGAACCACTTTACTCCAAGACGAAGGCGTAGTCTGTCTGTTATTAGCATTAACTTAATTGTTAAATAATTATTTTAAGCTATTTATTAAATATTTACAGTCATTCAAATTCATGATTACACTTAAGCATGATTATAAATTTATTTACAAATTTATTTCATTATAGGCATTTGGCCTTTGTTGATAAGTACAAGTGCGCAATGAGCTGCCTCCTTCATCAGTTTTATTAGAGAATTACGGATATTTCAATTAATTTTGTTTATTTGTAAACGAATCTTTTGAAAAAGTCCTTGACATTCTCACCAGCTTTCCTCCGAGTACTAAATGCACCCACCCACTTCACCTGACCTGCCTGGTTCTCCGCTAACAAATCCTCTCAGCCACATCTCCTGAATGAAAACTGTTTTCACAGACACTTGGCTTGCCGGGTGACAAGTAATCCGGCTCAAGCGGTGAATTCGTTCGGGGAAACAACAGTAAACAAGGCAGAACGACTCGTTGCCACAGATATTTGCATTGAAAACAAATTAAGATGCTCCTTTTCCCTGCTCCACACTCGATTATCACTTTCGCCTGGCAGGCAGTTCACAAATCATTTGTTTACACGATATTTCCCTCTTTGTTTTTCTCTGTTTCGGCCCTTCCGCTTAAGTGATGTCAATCAATTAAATTTACACACCAGGACGAAGGACGGAGGCTGCTGCTGCAGGAAGCCACACCCACTGGCATCGCTTATACATTTTTCATGACACTCGCGTATGTCGTCCCGTCACCCGACTTTTCCCGGGTAGAAAGTGCTTCGGCAAAAATTTGTAAACGTGTTTATCTTGCTTCCCCCTGCCAGTCTCCGTCTCCGTCCCCGCCTCCGCCTCTGTCTCTGTCTCCATGTGGGCCAAGTGAGCTTATGAGTGGTTGGGTGGGGCAGAGTGGGCGGGAAAGTGGCACCGGATAAGCCGGGCTGGAAGTATAAAATAAAATAAAACTGGGAACCGAGACAACACAATAACATTTGCATTTGCCGAGGTGTAATGCCTAAGCTTTATGGCAAGCGTTACTATTACAGCAGAAATGGTTGCATTTTCATTAAGTCGACTTTCAGGAGCCCGCGAAGCCAGGAAAATGTTTACGGCTCAACTGATTAGTCGAGCATTTAGCGCATCCTTCGAGGTTACTTCAGCTGAAGTTGCCTTTTATTTATTATTGAAATTGGCAGCATCTACAGATCATCAATTTCCAGCTAACTTTCACTTAACTCCGCTTTTTGTTAGAGAAATGGTTTAAAGCCACTAAAAATATGACAAAACCAAGTGCAGAGTCGTAAATTACAAGACATACGCAGGGGATATATTGACAGAGTCTAAATACACCCAATTAAGTACCTTTTTAGCCCCAAGTTGCGTCCAAAAATTGTTTCAGTTTTGTGTAAATTTGTCCGAGAAACTGGACTCTGGCTTAGCAGAGACCCACTGGGCTCTGACTCTTCCTCTCGATCCATATTTACCTTATTCCACCTCAAACGGAAGTTAATTCCGAAATATTTTCCACAGGGAGAGATACTTTCCGTATCTGGGAGGGCGATATGAGTCCGACTTATGAGCTGGCGCCTGGAAATATGCACCCGATTCTGGCTCCAAGGAGGGCGAGTGTGGTCAAAGTGCTTATCAGCTGAGTGGGGGGACGGGGTGGAGTGGAAAATTACAAAATGGGTGAGGGGTGGCTCTCCGGCCTTGATGGGGTCCCAAACATCTTGACTGACTGCACTTTATGGTTCATTTTGCATGCCTCGGATGAGCCCAGGCCTGGACCCCGGCGAGGAAAGATATCGGGCGGAAAGGAGGAAAGGGTTTCAGTTACACATAACCCAAGTTTAGTCCGGATTCTGCCCGGGATCCCTCCCCCTGCACCATGACTATGCGTTTCGGTATTTTTACTGCTACGCTCCCATTTGCGAGACAGAGAATTTTGAGTTGCCTTTTCATTTTTAATGCCGCATCTTGGTCTCGGACAATGTTTGAAGGGCGGGGAGTGGGCGGGGACCACAGGACTTGTGTGCGTTGTCCTTGCCTGCAGCGTTAAATTCTTGTTAAAATATTATGGCAACTTTCTGCAATTCTTTTTGCGCTTTAAAGCGGAATTCAGCCGAGGAAATCTCTCTTCCAGCAATTTCGAATCCTCTTTTTCAAGGCGCTCAAAGGGACTGAGATCAACTTGTTTATACTGGGAAAATATGTCGAAATATGCAGCACATTAATGTAATTTGTACATCTTGAGACTTGGATTCTTCACATGAAGTATATTCAAGCCGCAGAGAGGAGATCAATTATTTACCTAATTGTTAAAAACAATTTTATCTGATTTCCTTGGGTCTGTAGTTGCGTTTCCCAGATGGAAATAGTAGGTGCCTCCTCGACGGAAGAGTACCTCCAGCAATTAGCCAACGTGCTCGAGGTCACACGCTTCCACTGAAGACGCAATTATTTCAGTTGATTTGGCCCGAATTGACGCGACTCTGGTTCGCTCTGAGACAGCGAGTGGTCCTCGGGACTCAGAAACACTTAGTGGGCGGGCCGAAACCACCTCCATCCCTGTCGCACCTAATTAGGCCAATTAAATTTAGCTGCAAATTACACACACATTAAATGTGCAAATTGGGCGGCCAGCTGAAATTGAAATTAAATGCATGTCGCATGTGGCTGTGGCAAGTGGCAAGTGCCACGAAGGGGGTGGGGAAGGGGAAGGGGCGTTGCGTGCAGAGGCAGATGCACCTCGATGACTTGGCTTCGGATTGGATTAGGCGGGTGCACTGGCTTCGAGGGGCTCATTAAATCGTGGGTAAAGTGGAGAGTGCAAGCCCGTCACGAATGCAATTGGATTATCCTGGATTAATTCAGTGAACCGAAGGTGCTGTCCCGAGGAATGCACAAAGCAGGCAGTGAATAGCTAACGAAGGACGAGGTCTTAATCAGAGGACACTCTCTGATGACAGCACTTGGTTATTAAATCTATATTTAAATAGTAATATTTATAGAATGTCTGTTTGATGATTCACTAAAATTTCTGAATTAATTAGCTTAAGTTTGTAGTAGAATCTGCAGTTGGAAATCATATTTCACACAGCTTATACATTAGTTTCATTGGTAAATTAATATAATACAAATTATGCATTGATTTCTTTGAACTGTCACAGTATCGGCCCTATAAGGGGTTCCTTATAAAATTAATTATATTATTTATTATAATTAATATCTTTTTTCTGCTATTGGTCTTGAATGAAATAATAATCCCTGAAAATCAATCAAAGTTAAAGCCCCTTCTGAATGTAGAAATTCATAAGAAAGAAGAATAGCGGCAAAATCCTTATTACCGGCTCTAATTAAATGCTAATTCTTGGGGAAGCATTCAATTATCGGTTATTAAATTTAACTTCTTCTGTCACTCACCTGATTTGAACTCCCTGACAGCAGGCAAAACTTGGGCGGGCTTTTCGCTCCAAAAATTACTTTTCAACCGTATTTTATTCCTCCAAAAATTCTTTGTATTAATTATACTCTTATTGGTTTCTTTCACACTTGAAAAAACAAGGGCTTAAGCTTTGTTAACTGTTTCGACACTGTCAAAAAATTGGCTATTTCAACACGAGACGAATTCGGAATTATTCGAATACAATCCATATACCGGTTTCACACCACGACTTCTGTCAGTCCGTGGCAACAGAACCGCCGGTCAGGACCTTCGCAAGTGAACTACGCGTCGAAGGAAAACAGTTGCCAAGTGGCGGAGGAACAAACCAAAACACAGGACGAAGTGCCGAGCCACAGGAACCGAAGGACCCGAAGGCTGCGACTCAATTGCTCGTCTGGCCACGAGGCAGGGACTCGAGCTGCCGCTCAGAATGAGTTTCCACTCAGTCTGGCACTTCGTTGGCTTTGTTTACAAATACTTTTTCGGCCTCGTGTCCTTTGGGAATGAATTTGCATGCGCGCCTGTTGCGTGCTTTGCCGCTGCCTATTTTCAATATTTACCATATATATATCCTTGAGATTTTTTGTTAATTTGAATTTATTAAATATTAATAAAAGTAAAGAAGGGAATATTTATGACAATTATTTATAAGCAGCTGAATTTATACCTTAATTTATACCTTTTATAAATTTTTTACAAATATATAGAAACATTAATTTGTAAAATATTGTTATTGGTAAATTCTAAATTTAAAATATTTTTATTATTAAATTTGAACAACTCTTATACCGATTTTGTTGTTTAATGGTGTAAGCAATTCCTTATCCCCTTTTTTAGATAGTTACAATATTATTTAATTATTACAAAAATTATTTTAAGCTTTAAACTGATCAAAAATATATTTTATATTTCATAAAACCATCCATTTTCCTTTGTTCACTTCGACTTGTTACATTTACCGCCCACTCGCAGGCGCCTCGCCAGTGTTTTGAGTGACAGACCGAGTCGAAATTGAGTGGCTGCCTTCGGATCCTTCGGGTCCTGCGGCTCGGCTTTTCGTCCTGTGTTTTGGTTTGGTCTTCTGCCCACTTGGCCACTGTTTTGCCCAGTTCGCTTGCGAATGTCCTGAATGACGGTTCTGCGACGCGTAAAAGCGGGTTAAAAACTGTAGTTCAAATAATTCCGTAAGCTTCACGATGCGTTTAGTTTCTGACGGTTAAAAAAGCTTAACTCCTATTTTTTAAAGTGCCCTGAAAAATTAATCCCTCAATACAACATAAATAAATAAAAATTTCAAAAGAAAGAAATTCTGACAAAGTTAATTTTGAAAAGGAAAAACCCGGCTTAAGTTGGGTTCCCGCTCTCTGTGGCTGCCGGGAATCAAAATCAGGTGAGTGGCGGCGGAAATTGAATTGAGAAGCCGGTAATTGAATAAAGGAGTGGCCCCAGAATTTTCAAGAAAAAGAAGCGTTTAATTAGGGCCGGTAATAAAGATTTTTCACGCGATTCTGCCTCTTAATGAACTCAGCATCCGGAGCGGGTCTCCTTTCAGTGGACTCTGGAATTCTCAGGGATTACGTTGGACATGGTCATCATTAAGACACCAATTAAAGAAGAACAAATAAATTTCCAGATTATAATGTGTGTGATATATGATTTTCATCTGCAGATTCAACTGCAAACTTAACATAATTAATTCAGAAATTTGACTAAACAATCAAACAGACATTCTATAAATATTACTATTTAAATATAGATTTAATAACCAAGTGCTGTCATCAGAGAGTGTCCTCTGATTAAGACCTCGTCCTTCGTTAGCTATTCACTGCCTGCTTTGTGCATTCCTCGGGACAGCACCTTCGATTCACTGAATTAATCCAGGATAATCCAATTGCATTCGTGACGTGCTTGCACTCTCCACTTTACCCACGATTTAATAAGCCCCTCGGAGCCAGTGCACCCGCCTAATCCAATCCGAAGCCAAGTCATCGAGGTGCATCTGCCTCTGCACGCGACGCCCCTTCCCCTTCCCCACCCCCTTCGTGGCACTTGCCACTTGCCACAGCCACATGCGACATGCATTTAATTTCAATTTCAGCTGGCCGCCCAATTTGCACATTTAATGTGTGTGTAATTTGCAGCTAAATTTAATTGGCCTAATTAGGTGCGACAGGGATGGAGGTGGTTTCGGCCCGCCCACTAAGTGTTTCTGAGTCCCGACGACCACTCGCTGTCTCAGAGCGAACCAGAGTCGCGTCAATTCGGGCCAAATCAACTGAAATAATTGCGTCTTCAGTGGAAGCGTGTGACCTCGAGCACGTTGGCTAATTGCTGGAGGTACTCTTCCGTCGAGGAGGCACCTACTATTTCCATCTGGGAAACGCAACTACAGACCCAAGGAAATCAGATAAAATTGTTTTTAACAATTAGGTAAATAATTGATCTCCTCTCTGCGGCTTGAATATACTTCATGTGAAGAATCCAAGTCTCAAGATGTACAAATTACATTAATGTGCTGCATATTTCGCCATATTTTCCCAGTATAAACAAGTTGATCTCAGTCCCTTTGAGCGCCTTGAAAAAGAGGATTCGAAATTGCTGGAAGAGAGATTTCCTCGGCTGAATTCCGTTTTAAAGCGCAAAAAGAATTGCAGAAAGTTGCCATAATATTTTAACAAGAATTTAACGCTGCAGGCAAGGACAGCGCACACAAGTCCTGTGGTCCCCGCCCACTCCCCGCCCTTCAAACATTGTCCGAGACCAAGATGCGGCATTAAAAATGAAAAGGCAACTCAAAATTCTCTGTCTCGCAAATGGGAGCGTAGCAGTAAAAATACCGAAACGCATAGTCATGGTGCAGGGGGGAGGGATCCCGGGCAGAATCCGGACTAAACTTGGGTTATGTGTAACTGAAACCCTTTCCTCCTTTCCGCCCGATATCTTTCCTCGCCGGGGTCCAGGCCTGGGCTCATCCGAGGCATGCAAAATGAACCATAAAGTGCAGTCAGTCAAGATGTTTGGGACCCCATCAAGGCCGGAGAGCCACCCCTCACCCATTTTGTAATTTTCCACTCCACCCCCGTCCCCCCACTCAGCTGATAAGCACTTTGACCACACTCGCCCTCCTTGGAGCCAGAATCGGGTGCATATTTCCAGGCGCCAGCTCATAAGTCGGACTCATATCGCCCTCCCAGATACGGAAAGTATCTCTCCCTGTGGAAAATATTTCGGAATTAACTTCCGTTTGAGGTGGAATAAGGTAAATATGGATCGAGAGGAAGAGTCAGAGCCCAGTGGGTCTCTGCTAAGCCAGAGTCCAGTTTCTCGGACAAATTTACACAAAACTGAAACAATTTTTGGACGCAACTTGGGGCTAAAAAGGTACTTAATTGGGTGTATTTAGACTCTGTCAATATATCCCCTGCGTATGTCTTGTAATTTACGACTCTGCACTTGGTTTTGTCATATTTTTAGTGGCTTTAAACCATTTCTCTAACAAAAAGCGGAGTTAAGTGAAAGTTAGCTGGAAATTCATCAAACTGTAAATGCTGCCAATTTCAATAATAAATAAAAGGCAACTTCAGCTGAAGTAACCTCGAAGGATGCGCTAAATGCTCGACTAATCAGTTGAGCCGTAAACATTTTCCTGGCTTCGCGGGCTCCTGAAAGTCGACTTAATGAAAATGCAACCATTTCTGCTGTAATAATAACGCTTGCCATAAAGCTTAGGCATTACACCTCGGCAAATGCAAATGTTATTGTGTTGTCTCGGTTCCCAGTTTTATTTTATTTTATACTTCCAGCCCGGCTTATCCGGTGCCACTTTTCCCGCCCACTCTGCCCCACCCAACCACTCATAAGCTCACTTGGCCCACATGGAGACAGAGACAGAGGCGGAGGCGGGGACGGAGACGGAGACTGGCAGGGGGAAGCAAGATAAACACGTTTACAAATTTTTGCCGAAGCACTTTCTACCCGGGAAAAGTCGGGTGACGGGACGACATACGCGAGTGTCATGAAAAATGTATAAGCGATGCCAGTGGGTGTGGCTTCCTGCAGCAGCCGCCTCCGTCCTTCGTCCTGGTGTGTAAATTTAATTGATTGACATCACTTAAGCGGAAGGACCGAAACAGAGAAAAACAAAGAGGGAAATATCGTGTAAACAAATGATTTGTGAACTGCCTGCCAGGCGAAAGTGATAATCGAGTGTGGAGCAGGGAAAAGGAGCATCTTAATTTGTTTTCAATGCAAATATCTGTGGCAACGAGTCGTTCTGCCTTGTTTACTGTTGTTTCCCCGAACGAATTCCCCGCTTGAGCCGGATTACTGTTCACCCGGCAAGCCAAGTGTCTGTGAAAACAGTTTTAAGGACACATTCAGGAGATGTGGCTGAGAGGAGTTGTCAGCGGAGAACCAGGCAGGTCAGGTGAAGTGTGAGCTTCCTTTGGGTGCATTTAGTACTCGGAGGAAAGCTGGTGAGAATGTCAAGGACTTTTTCAAAAGATTCGTTTACAAATAAACAAAAATAATTGAAATATCCGTAATTCTCTAATAAAACTGATGAAGGAGGCAGCTCATTGCGCACTTGTACTTATCAACAAATGCCAAATGCCTACAATGAAATAAATTTGTAAATAAATTTATAATCATGCTTAAGTGTAATCATGAATTTGAATGACTGTAAATATTTAATAAATAGCTTAAAATAATTATTTAACAATTAAGTTAATGCTAATAACAGACAGACTACGCCTTCGTCTTGGAGTAAAGTGGTTCCTGGGAATGTCCGAGGGTTAAGTATTCCCCGAATATAGTCAGTAGGATCTTTGGTATGAATTCCCACTCCAGCTCCTTTGTTTTGGCAACCTTGTCCCCATGAAATATGAAATGTCGCCGAAATGTCTTCCTCACAATTAGTTAATTAACTTAAACTCGCGTTGTTGCTGGCACACTGGGCGTCATCCTGGCTGCTCATCGGCGTTATCGAGATGAAAGCGAATGGCTTTCGTTTCCAAGAAGCCAGGGGAACGGGTGGGAGGAGGAGTAGTAGGAGGGGGCTGGCAGACAGACGTGGGCCCGAAT